ATGACTCATGACGGGAACATTATCTAGTTTTGAGAGATCTCTATTGGCACTGGGTGGCTTTTAACAGTAAAAATATATCGTAATTTCCCCACCTAATACATTATCTAGAATAACACTCCTGAAAATTACAGTAATATCCACCATTATAATAAACACCCCTTTTGTAGTCTGCCCATAATCACATAAACCCACTAAACCATATATCAAATATTAACATTACTCCCTAGGAAAACAATCTGAGCACAAGTAAAATCTGGTTTACATTCTGATTACCATCAACTTTCTAAAAGAGCTTCTATTTTTTACTACGAGTTGTCGCTCAACAGATAACGGAGGCACTACACTTTCTCCTCAGAAGAGGCCTTGTGAGTCCTTAGTATCAGTGGCAGATGAAAAGCTTTGCCTTTATTTGATGCTGAGAGGGGAAACTATTGAGATGCTTTCAACACAGCAAAACTTAGGCCCCTATGAATAAAGCTGATGGTAAGAGTATGCTACAGAAGACTTTAGGATGATATTGAAATAGCAGGCAAGAAAGACTTAGAAAACCCACCGCTTACCTCTGGGCTCCAAGGAAATTGACAAAGGCAACCTGGTACGTAAGTCAGTATTTACTCCACTTCTGATCTTAGCATGTGGAGATAGCAGGTACATCTGTCTTCTTATTTACTAGCCCTTGTCCAGTTTGAATGCTTCCTCCCTTTCTTCACCACCAATCTTCACTCCACTCACCTCTGACATTTCACCAAGATACCAATACACTATGAAAACTGTAGACACCAAAATGGAGCCCTGTGTGTCTACTCTGACAAAGAATGAATGAAGTCACTGGGGTTCTGCAGTGAGGATCCTGTAGAAACAATTTAGCAGACAGCTCTGCTTAACTATGAACTGCCACCACCTTGTCATTAATTATTTTGGGCAAAGATTATTGTCTCCTAATTATGTTATTCTATCCTGCTTATTTTGCTCTTAAAAGTATCTACACGTCTCAACATCCTTGAATATGCCCACTGCTTACTGGGCACATTCTGTTCCTAAAGAAGCAGAATTTTACTTGCCTTTGTCCTTCAAAAAGTTTTATTGAAAATAAAAAATAAAAGTCTAAATCCTTCATGGTCCTTCTTAATCATTATATCTGCTCCCGATGTCCCATTATTTTAAAATCGGATTTATCCTCATTAATCTTACCTATGTTAGAATCAATGATCTCAAATGTGCTAAGAAATCAATTTTCATGTATTTGAATTTTGACGAAAACAAGTGCAAATTTTGGAAAATATTTTTAAAAAACTGCCTTTGGACTTAAGTTGGAAGAAATAGATATTGGACAAATTAGGTCTAGGGTGTCTGAATGACTGGCCAGATTGAAATCTTCATCATCCAGTCAGGAACATAAGCAGGGCGTGGAGACACACAACTATAAGCCATCTCAGGACTCTGGAGGCAGAGGCCGACAAATCTTACAGTTTGAGGCCAACCTGGCCTACAGAGCAAGTGCCAGGACAGTCATGGCTATGCGGAGAAACCCTGTCTCAAAACAAAACAAAGTAAAAAAGCAACGAAAAATCAGGAAAATAATGACTACAAGCTGAAATTCCATGGTATTTATGAGGTTATATTAGGTAAACATTCACAGACAGAACATACATGTCAGGTCAACTATAGATTTATTATGCTTCTTACTTTTAGTATATAAAGCACAGATGGGCTATGCAGTTATTAGAAGCCCTCTCGAAGAACATACAAAGGAGAGGAAAGAATGCTATTGGTTGTTTTTACTCTTTTCCCTTTGGTCTTTGGCCATTTGACTCTTTTTGGGGGAGTATGGGGGCTGCCACTCAGCTCCCAAATAAATCACACACAGAGGCTTATTATTTCTTATAAATACCAGGCCTTAGCTTGATTTGTTTCTGCCAGCTTTTCTTATCTTCAATTTACCCATCTGCCTTTTTCCTCTGGGATTTTTCCTTTCTCTTACTTCTGTAAACCTTACTTTCACTCTGACTCCATGACTGACTGTGTGGCAGGGTGGCTGGCCTCTAGTGTCATCCTCTCCTTGTTCTCTGGCTCTTCTTCTTTCCAGATTTCTCCTATCTATTCTCTCTGCCTGCCAGCCCTGCCTATCCTTCCTCCTGCCTTGCTATTGGCCATTCAGTTTTGTCCTTAGACCATCAGGTGTTTTAGACAAGCAAAGAATCATGTATTCACAGAGTTAGACAAAGGTAGCATAAACAAAAGCAACGCATCTTAAAAGATATTCCTCAACAAAAGAATTACAAGTTTCTGAACGAAAATAAAGTATGTCTTTATAGTGAGAATTTCATCCATAATATATTCAATGACCTAAATCGCTCCCTGACTTCTAGAAGCTGATCTGGTGCTCTTAACATCGTCCTCCGTTTTCTTTGGATTGTCTCTATCTCAAACAATTGTAGGGCAAGCTAAACTCATCTTTCCTGTGCTCAGCAGTCTGTTGGAGAGATTCCCTCCAACTTGTCTTGCAGTTCTCTCTTTTTCCCAGTTTCAGCTGCTCAGTCATTTTATCGCCATCTAATTTATCCTGCCAAAATAAGCAGTCATTTGATACCAAGACACTGGGAGACCAAATACCTGCAGATCTCAAGAGTATATAGCCACAGACAGGTGATATAATTCTCTAGCATCCGTTTCCAGGCGTAAGGAACTGTTGAGTTGCTAGTTACCTCATCCCTGTAAAACTCATGACGCTGTTAGAGCGATCAATCAGTGGTTTTAGGGATTAAAAGAAACTTCCTTTTCCATAAATAAACATGCTCAAGTTGAGTTTAATTTCCATTTTAACCATTATGTTTCTTCTAATAACAGTATTGACTCACATGGTGTATTAAATTTACAATGTCCAGTACTATAGAGCACACGACCTGCCACGTTCACCTGCCTAGGAATCTTCCATTTCCCTGAAAATGATCACAATTTGATGCCTTTGGTGTCAGAACACATTTAATGGTCGCCAAGAACACGATTTACCATATGAAGTAAACAGCCCCAGTTTTTCTCTCAGAAAGAAGAGAAAGGAGGAAGGGAGGGAGGTAACAAGGGAGAGAGAGAAAGTGGAAGGAAGGTTACATTAAAGAAGAGAGAACGAAAAATATAAGAGTAAGTACCTTTCAGCACCCCCAGTTAACCATTTAAGTACATGGTCATTAATTTAGCTGACCATTTTCTCCAGATTCAACAGATATTTCCCATCTTCATTTTTATTAACCACATTCATATAAATTCAGTTCAGCAATGTCTGCTAATTTTACTCAAAAGATGTATTAATACTTCAAGGCCATCTTCAAAAATATGAAGGGGGATCTAACTCCAATCTCAAAATGACCAGACCAGAGCATTGTTAGAGCATTTCTAAAGATTGGATAATAGCTAGCTAGTTTAATATGCAATTCGTAGTGTTTTTCTTACACATGCTGTCTTAAGGTGATCACACCTTTTACTTTCTGTGCTAAAATGATGAATGCCACTTCTGAGTAGCTGAAACGGTGTCTTCTTCTTGTTCTTATTGTTTCCTTTTAAAAAACATTATCATTAGAAATACCGATAAATTTACTAGCACGTTCTTTTCAGATATTAAAATCTATATATTCCAAGATGTACTCTTGGAATCTTATATGAATATACATTTTGCAGGTTTTGCAGTCCGTTGCATATAAAATCAACTATTCATATTGACAGTTCTTTTATTATTCTCAAGGACACATTTATTTTGCTATTCCTATGGAGATCAAGTAAACTACCGATTTCAGACATTTTTCTACTCTTTGAATTTCAGCTTCCTCTTCTGCGAAAAGAGTCTTGAACTAGTGGGAACAACTCAGTGGCTAACGTGCTGGTTGTGAAAGCACAGAGACGTGATTTCAGATCCCCAGCGGTCATCCTTATGGAAAGCTGAGTAGCCATGTGGCTCTGAGTCCTATGAACACCACCTGTACACTTGACACAGCCTAGAGTCACCTAAGGAGGGAGTCTCAGTCGAGGCGTTCTCAGATCGGACTGGGTCATGGGCATGTCTGTGGGGCACTGTCTTCATTGCTATTGAAATAGGAGAGGAAGGCAGCCATCTGAACTCAGCACCACTCCCTGTGCTGGGGCTGTATACAATAAGATAGCTGGCTGAGCACAAACCTGTGAGTGAACTAGCAAGCAGCGTCCTCTATGGCTTCTGCTTCAGTTCCTGCCCTGACTTCCCTTATTGATGCATTTGTGGGTCGAAAAAATGTCTTTCTCCAACAATGGAGTGTGGCTTTCCAAGTGTGTGGAACACGAGTGCTCTCCTTGCTAACTGCACAGCTACCACCTGTGTGAATTTGCAAGCCAATGCTGAGATCTAGTCAGCCTGCTAAGACTTCAGAAAGTTTCTTGCCTTTCCCATCCTACACCTTCAGCTAGGTTGTAATCTCTGAGGCATTAAAAACCTCAGTTATTCTAGCCAAATTAACTTATTCTGGGGCAAATGAACTTACTCTTGGGTATTTACAAGGTAAAACGCTCACAGTTTTATTTTCCTGGTGTAATTGAGATGTAATAAAGTCAGGGAATGCTAGGGGAAAAAAGGGCAGACAGACAAAGACCTCCAAAGCCAACTTTCCTTCAGAACACTGTTAATAAGATAGATTAGATGCACGTTTTCTGAATTATCTGTTTAACTCGATACAATTTATAAGGGTGCGACGTTCTTAGCTACAGGTCATTAGGTTATAGGGAGTAATATGAGTCTGAAAGAAAAACAGTGTTCAGGAAAAGCATAGGGAGTAAGTGTCTGAAAGTGAATTGAATCTGAAGATGCCTATGAAGCTATGCATGTACGATCACACAGGCAAAGGTTAAACGGCGCTAACCATGTACACATACTGCCAATGGAAAAGCAATGTATAATATTATGATAAACTCAGCATGGACTGGTTTCTTTGCATAACGGCTGAGAAGGAATGCAAAACAAAGAACTCTGAAGTACTTACAACTGATCGGAGATTATTTTCTTTCACCAGCTTCAAGGATGATTGATAGCAATTTGCAAGGTCTTCCTTGTGGGAACCATTAATGTGGCCTCTGGCTATTGGCCCTACAGTATGGATGACGTCTGCAAATGCAAAAGAAATGAGAACAGGATCAGTGAAGCTCTGTTTACTTTTTACACAACTGGTGCTTTATTTATTTTAGATATTAGTGTTGGAACCTGGAGACAGCGAAGGTAAGAAATATTGATGACATAAACGCTCCATTGCAAAAGATTCCAGGGGCCATACCCTCACCAAGTAGGCTACCGTCCCAGGAAGGTGACAGGACAGAAAAGCATTTCAGTACCATTGAACTATTTCATGGGTATTGGTCAGGTCCAAGTGTGACGGATCACTGTATAAGATGTATACAACTGGCACCCTGGCAGAAGACAAATCCTTGGTGGGACATAAACCAAGAAATAATTGCCTGAAAAACGAGCATCTCAATTGAGAGGGGAAGGGAGAGTCAATGCCAGACACAATTCTCCTTGTAAATAAGACATTATATGATATTAAGAGGATCTTTAAAATATCACCAAGAGGATTTTTATCACAATCATGATCCTAAAACGAAAAGCTTCAAACTAGTACTAAAAGTTTTAAATTGTTCAGTCTCTATGACCATGAGCAATACAAGAAATAATAAATAACATGTACATGTGCTAACTGAGGCTTCATACCTTATTTTTATCACTAAAACTCTCACAGAGTAATCTGTTCCTTTCAACCTCCATGTAAGTAAAAACATAAAAGTAGACAGTTTTTACTTTGGCATGTAAACCTCAGGCACTCTGTTATTTTTTTTCCATTTTACATACGCAAGAATGCTTGTGAGACGTGCTAGGAGTGAACCAGAGCCTTGCTGTGCACATCAGGCACACATGCTACCGCTTGATTGACAGTTCCAGGTCTCACATTTTTAAATCTTTCCTTAAATTCAGAAGCATTACAAAATAAGATTTCCTCATTTCAAAGTAAAAAAAAAAAAAGATTAGAAGGAATGAAAATTTGAGCCAAATTACTTAAAATACTTTGTACCTTTTGCTTCCTAGTTTTATATGTTAATTGAATAATTATGACATTTCACTGACATAAGTTACAAGAACTAATCAAGTTTGATCAAAGAGATAAATTTTGGCCTGTATTAGCAGACTATTATAATGAAATGAAACTATTTACTTTGGCTAATCAGTACCACTTAGTTTTAACAAGGACAAGAATAAGAAAGCTTTGTAAAAACAGGAACATGGCACAATTAAAATTGTATGTAAAATTTGAATTGAGACCCATAAACCACTATTGGGGGGAACTTCGCTGGACTCCTGATAAATACTGAGACTATTATATGATATTTGAGACAGGCCCTCTAAGCAGGATTTCGACGATTAATTCTAAAACAATATTTAAACTCTTGCCAGGCAGTATTAAAGATGATGTCGTGTGATCAAAGCAGGCAGAAAATCTATACCACTGAGCTCATGCTGATGCTTCACAGGTGGGTCTGGATCTCATTGCAGTGGGCCTGACCCCAGCATAGACATGGAAAGGAAAGTAGAATTGGGTTGTACACAGTGAAACAAAGCACAAAATGGTAACATTATTTATCAATAAAACAACGTAAACTACACAGAGTCAGAAAATAGGAGCTTTGTCTCCTATGTGATAAACTTCCTGAGGACTATGTTTTTATTTTTATGTTATTTTTTTCAGTGGATGCTAGACTACAGGGGAGCAGGACCCGCTTTATTTGATCGCTTCTGGTTATTTGTTTGTACTCAGCTATGATGTCCCAAATCATCAAATGTGGGATGATGCAGGGGGTCGCTCATTTGTTCCCAGCCCTGAAATAATCACACTGAAACTATATTACTTAAATCACTGCTTGGCCCATTAGCTCTAGCTTCTTACTGACTAACTCTTACATCTTAATTTAACCCATCTCCATTGATCTGTGCATCACCATGAGGTCATGGCCTACATGCAAAGCTTCAGCACGTCTGTCTCTGATTGTGGGTCCATGTCTTCTCCTGACTCTGCCCTTCTTTCTCCAAGCATTCAGTTTAGTTTTCCCTGCCTAGCTACGCTCTGCCCTGCTATAGGTCCAAAGCAGTTTCTTTATTTATTACTGGTATTCACAGCATACAGAGGGAAATCCCACAACAGTAGGAAAGTTGAATATAAACACACTGAATCATATAAGGAAGTAACCCAGCAGGTATAATCATATATGAACTAAAACTATGACTTTTAAAATTAAGACATACCAGCTACTTTATTGTAAGGCATTTTGGGGCATTTAGTGTCCCCTAATGACTTGTGGCTTTACTGGAGGGAACTACAGATTGGCATTATTCAAATCCATTTGATGGTTGGAACTTGTATTATACAGGGTACTCATAGAAGACCAAGGTACACAAATTAGGCTTTTGGGAAGGTTGTAGGGCCACTAGGGCACTCTCTCATTCTTACTGAACAAGTTGAGACCTGGTTTCTCCACCACCCCTTACTTAATGGGACAACCGGACACGGTCATGTTCTCCCTGTTTTGCAAATAGAGATGACGAAGAAGTGCCTCTTATATGACGCTATAAAAGCAGGGTCTACTTGTTTAGGGAAAAAAGGGTCTTAGAGGCATTAGTGAGAAGACCTGTGGTAGGGTGGAGTCTATAATAACTAGTAGTGGTTACAAAATAAAATCCCTCCCTGTACTTTCTGTTAGCCATCAATGTATACATAATTTAAGTAGAATTTTTGAAAAATGATTCCATGTGTTTCCACAGCTCTCCATTTCATTTAAAAGTCAGAGGACAAATGGCCTATAAATGAGCTTCCCCAATATCAAAATATTGATTCCTGTGTTTTATGCTCTATATTAAATTTATAGCATCCAAGATCAAGTGTTTTTATTGACCAACACAATGACCTCTCAGATTCACAAAGCTGGAGGTGAATCGATATGAGACTTCAAGGGAAATTCCTTTCATTATCTTAATTGTTCGTTTTACTTATTTGTACCTACTCTACATTGAGCTCTGTCATGCATTCCAGGCAGTGGGACAGCTTCTAGCTTCAGACTGATCATGAATGATCAAGTACCCACGCTAAGTCCTCCTTTTTATGAGTTCCTGACTAGGCTTCCTTATCTGTAAAATACATCAGCTTTTCTTTGATGTCATTTCGTCATTATTACGCAGCGTCATTAGTGTTTAACATTATAAGGGAGGCAGACTTAGCACAGAATGATACGTGGACATCAAAAAAGCAAACAAAAACCAGGAACAAAACAAAAACAAAACTACTTGAACATGGTTAGGAGGCCCAGAAGTTTTTATTACAAAGTTTTTTTTTTTCTTTTTGGTTTTTGGTTTTGGTTTCTTTGAGACAGGGTTTCTCTGTAGCTTCGGAGCCTGTTCTGGAACTTACTCTGTAGACCAAGCTGGCCTCAAGACGAAGGCACCTTCCTCTGCCTCTCGTGTGCTGGGATTAAAGGCATGTGTTACCACCGCCCAAACAGAAAGAAAGAGCTCCTGTAACTTCAAGGATTCTTTATATTAATTTATATTTTTAAAACTGAATAGCATCTTCACAATGTGCAGATACATATGCATGAAAAATTCATGGGCAATGCTTTACCTTAAGCCTGGATTCCGAGTCCCTTGGGACAGATAAAATGAAAACTTCTAAATTCAATGCCTCATGACTGGCAAGACTCACAAAGTGATGCATAGCATTGCTCATGAAGGCAGCCGCAGCATCTAAGGGACCTTCAGCACAGAGATAGGAGTGTAGAAGGAACATTGGGCTGTATATCCTGAGATCTGACAGCCATGTAGAAGACCCAAGTCTGTCACTATGAGTTGTGTGAACTTGGACAAGATTCTTCCCTTTTGGGGGTTTCAGTCTTCAGAGCTAAAGATGGGTTGTGTCAGTCACATCTTTTTTGTTGCTGGGACAAATACCTTAGAGAAATGGCTTTTCTCTTTCTTTTAAGAGGAAAGATTTGTCTTGGCTGATGGTCTCAGAAGCTTTGCTCGATGGAGTGCTTGCTCTGCTGTCCTACGCCAATGCAGAAGCAGAGAATCATCACACATGTGTGTTAGAGTATGCGTGTAGGAGAGAGCTTACCATGTGACATCTATAAAGAAGGGGAAACAAAGGGCTGAGAAATATATAATTCAAGAACAAAATTAGTTTTGTTGTGTTTTATACTTATTTTACTCTTTCTAATATTTAAAAATTTATGTGTATGGATGTTCTCTCTCCTTGTATGCTTTCACCACATAAGTCTCTGCTACCTATGGAGGTCAGAGAAGGCGCCAGATAACTGGGGACTGTTTTTTAGTGGGAACTGAACCCTGATCCTGTGGAAGAGCCACCAGAGCTTGTCTGCGTATAATATTCAACTTACATAAGTTAGAATGTTTCTACTAGAAAATTAGTATATTAAAATAGCACATGACTTATTAAGTCACATTCCTTGATCCTGTTTATCTTGCCTGTACAACATTTGCTAGTTCATATTTCAAAGATAAGCTTCTTTTTATTACAAATATGAAAATGCTAAATTAAAAAGAAAAGAGGAACAAGAAATTTAAAACCGAGAATCTATTACATATATCTTGGTTTTATTTTGTTGTCATCGATTATATATCTTTATGAGAAATTACTTTAAAGTATATATGAGTGATAGGTGGCACATAAAAGTGCAAGTTTCTGATAAATATTTAAGAAAATAGAAGTACGAATTATCTTCATTCCACTATGAAACTCACTTTCTTGAGTTGTTTATGTATTTGGGGTATCAGTCCTTTATCTGATGTGGAATTGGTGAAGATCTTCTCCCATTCAGTAGGTTGCCTTTTTGTCTTATTGACTGTGTCCTTTTATTTTCAGAAGTTTTTCAGTTTCAGGAGGTCCCATTTATTCATTGTTGCTCTTATTGTCTTTGCTACTAGGGTTATGCTTAGGAAGTGGTCTCCTGTGCCCATGCATTGAAGGCTAGTTCCCACTTTCTCCTCTATCAGGTTTAGTGTGGTCAGATTTATACTGAGGTCTTTAATCCATTTGGACTTGAGTTTTG